GGATGTAGATTCTGAAGTGGCCGACGCCCACGGATGCCCGGTTTTCCAACAATTAATGAGCTGTTACTGAAAAAAGCCAGGAATTGGCAGGACTCGGAGGATTTCGCGCCAAAGGCGCAGCTTCGGCAACGCTCGGAAATGTTGGCACCTACCCTGTAATTAGGACACCTTGGTGTGATTCTAATTAGGGGCCTCGGTTTGCCATAAATCTCTGGCTGTTATAGAGGTCATGTTTGAACGAACCTCGGGGAAGCGGGCTCTTAAATCATTTAGAAAATCAAACCTTTGTCGGTAATCAAGCGGCAGATCGGTAAACTCTTATCTTCGACTGTTCTACACCTTATCTTGAGCTGCTACCTCGTGCACCGATAAAACAGTATCTAATAAATTCTTACTTCATTTCGGCTTTCAGCAATTTAATGAAGCGCTCTTGCAGATTTTTGTATCTGAAATGCGAGGCGAAACGTACTTTTCGATGTTTGTTTTTGAAGAAATGAATTATTTGAAAGGGAAATTGAAATTGTAACTTGAACGATGATTTGTTCGATAATTACGTAAGTTACAGAATAGATTATATAGATTAGATAGAATGTTAGTGTGCACATTTTAATATTGCCGGCCGTTTTATTTTTACGAACGCGCGTCGCTTGCCTGCTCTTCGCTGAAATCTGAACACAATATTTATCCACCGTGCATAACATCGTTAATGGCTTATTTACCAGAAACTGTTTCGAACATGACCACGTAACAATTTGCGGACTCGCTCGCTTAGATACGTGTGTTCGCGACCGAAACGTTTGAATAGAATTAATCACACGAAGATGTAGTTAATCTCTTCTTTCATGTTTCCAGAGTATTTCAACATATGAAATATTCGTCGTCTTGTCACATCAAACAATTAATCATTTAGAAACTGCGGAATAATTATTGCGCGCGTAACTGTAAACTGTAGCTGCATTTCGTAATTTCTTCTCGTACGAGCAGATACGCGGTCAGATAATCTTCATATGCGGCTGATAAAATTCTCCGTTAATGTGATTCCATTGAATTTCTATAAAAATCCGAAACAGTAATTACGATGGAAATATGGTATAACTTTCTTTCCTCTGTTATTTCTGCATGTTTTACGAACTACAAACGAAAAGTAACTAACTTCGTTCAAATTAAACTTATTGCAATGTAAACTTATTACTTTGTTCAAACAACGCACTTTAAATAACAACTCAAAGTTATAAATTTCTAAACTAAGTTCGAGTAAAAATGACATAAATTTCTGAACTACCATTTTTACGTAAAAACTGGTAAAAAGGTAACAATAAAAATATAAAAGAGATATTGAAAATTTTACATATGGTGAATGAACTGCGATCTAAAAATGTTAAAACCATATTGAAACAATTGAAACATTAGATTAAGTATACATATTATAAAAAAAATATACGTACTTAACCCTTTGCACTCGAGGGCTCCGCAGCAGAGTCATCTAAAATTTGTCATTACAAACTAAAATTTTATCACTAAATATATTATAACATTCATATCTACAATCGATAAAAAACCAGTAAAATACATCTATGACTTTCCTTTTCACGCGCGTATCATTTATTTATATGTTAATATACTTCTATTAAAATTACTTCGAGTTGTTGGTAACGTCAGTAAGAAAAAGATTCGAGTGCAAAGGGTTAATTATCTTTTGTATTATAAATTCGTTATTGTCGGAATAAGTATGCAGTTATTGAAGAGGTGCCAGATGTTCGAATTCTCTTGTGACGACACAGCTACGATTGATTAATATAAATCGATGGCAAATATTTAAAAAACAACTACATACTTACTAAGCTTTACCAGAAATTTCGTTTCCAACGAGCGTATACGGGCACGCTAACTCTCCATGTTTACGCGTTGAGGACTCGATCACACGATCAAACGATCGCGCGATTGCGGCTTCCAGTTGCATAGCATCTTTAATTGTAAGTGATAACCGTGTGCAGTGTAGTTTGCATGAAGCTCCGCGGGTGCTGGAAAATCGTTAGTACACTATTCTAAACTCCGTAAGAGTCTCACGGTGAGTCTGAATGAGTGGCTGAATATCTTTACTCATAAAGTTTACGAGGTGTCACGGAAATGTCCACGCTGCCAAAGGGTGCGTCGTTAACTGCGTAAACAAATGCTATCAGCGACGAGTCGAAAAGAGATTGTTACGTTCATTATACGAATAATAAAAGGAAAATCCATTTTTCAATGGACGCACGGAATCTTTTGACATTAAAATTTGCCACTTTTCTCGAATACGCAACGCTGATTCTACATTTTCAGAATGAGTAATTGAAATTAAGATATGTTTAAAATGGATTAGGATTTTAATATTTTTATTATTACATTTATAGGTAGTGTATTTAATGAAAACTAATAATTACCATTGCGAATGAAAAATTTGTTTCCATGGATTTCTTATTAATACATTCAACTACAGTTTCAGTAAAAAAATTTAATATTTCTCACTCTTTAGTTCTTTGTTTACAATATGAAGGTTTTTAAGTTTTCTAATAATTTTTATACTGATATTGAAGCTTAATGTCTATTGATAAATCAATGAAAACAAATTTTCATTCTGAATTTTAACTATTAGTTTCTCGCCCGAGAATTTGAGCTTATGAAACGAGGATTCTTCAAATGTTTCAAATTGTCGTTACTGATATTGAAGTCGAACGTGTATTAATAAATTTATAAAAAAGAATTTATCTTCTTGATATACATAGAACGTTGAAATTATTTCCGAGGAACGTGAATTTGAAAAGGCCAGTTTCAAAGTATCCTTCTCTTATTCACAAGCAAATTTATCTTGCCTGCGTTTTTCATCCAATTAGTACTGCAATGGTGATTTATTATATTCAACGGCAGTGTCTTGTTCGAATTGGAAACAGCTCCAGGGAAAGTCGTATATGAACGTTTGAACTTTGGTTTCACTTCTCCTCTACTACTTTTTTTACACATCACCGGAGAAGCAGCTGAACGAATAATAAATACGTCTTTTCGGTGATCATTTTGTTTCTTGGGTGGCCTACTTAAATTTTGTTTTATTCAAATGACGTCAATGTTTCTGTAATTGAAATTCAAGTTCCTAAAATTGAATTTCACTTCATACAACAAAACTAAAGATATCTAGATTCAACTCATTGTTTTCTTGTACAAAAGTAAATTGTGGAGAACTTGTCAATTAAGTAAAGAATGCAATGATTAACAATTATATATAAGTATATAGTTCATGCTTGTAATACGAAATAATTGTAACCCATAAATGTATGAGTAATCAATTTTAATGTAATAAATATAAAATACTGTCAGTACAAGGAATATAAAATAAACGACGTCATGCATAAAATATTAATTTTTTATATAAGAAACATTCTGTTATTATGTTTAAAGTTACACTGTACGATAATATCCAAAGACCAATTAATTTCCAATTATTCGTTACTCTTTAATATCTCCTCATTTTGAATATTCCATTAAACTCGACGAGCTAACAAAAATTCTTCACGAACGATTTCACTGGGATTCGTTTACATTGATATTTAATACAGCCGTCGCAGAAATAAGTGTATAACGAAACGAGTCCATTTGCCGCTCTTCTTTCTACGGTTAAACAATCCACCAAAATTCCCAATTCGCTTGGACTCATTTGCAGTGTCTTCCGTTCCCGTAAAAAAATCGGTTCGTTTGAGGCCTACTGCGGCATTTAGCTGGCGGTGCAGTGTTTGCAACACGCTGTAGAATGTTCTACAACGAATCGTAACGTAATTACAAATTAGACACGATTAAACTCGCCGTTTCGAATGGAAACAGCGGAACTATCAAGATATCGTCTTGTGTCTGGCAATCTCGGAACTGAGGAGGATAGAAGGAAGAAGAGCGGACGGCAATAACGTTAATCGGGAAATCATATAGGGTGTTTCATTCAACAGCGTACGCTCGAATGTGTCGTACGTAGTCGAGGACATAAATAAATTATAAAGTTATTCCGAACACTATTAAAAAGGGGGATTTTTGGAGGATTTTTTAATCACGACAGAATAGAATTTCTTAAAATGAGTACAACACGTCACGTAAAGTCATTTAACACGTTCACGTAAATGACGTCTATAGACGTCCATTGCGTGTGCTTGTTGATGCAAACGACGTCTACAGCAGTCTTATATTTCTAGTATTATAAAACAGTTTAAAAAATGTATATCACTGTTGAATTGTTCAACACATCATTGTTCTTTTAATAATTGTTGAAGTAAAACTCCAGAAAATTCCTCTAACAAAAATAATTCGTAACCAAGTGTTGAGGTGTTCATTAGAAATTTTTGTTCTTGTATCTTTCAATTTTGTGTTACATTAAAAGAGAATGTAAATGAAAATCATGTGCGAAAAGTTCTGTTTATAAAAATATACCTCTTTTATTTGTTCCTGAATTATTTTCGAAAGATATCGTTAGGTATCAAAACGTCTACCTTTTTCTAGGAAAATTTATTAAACAATACAATAATTTTAATTTGTAAGTATGAAATCTTGATCGAACTCCCCAAGAACCAATTGACAAAAAAAAAAGTGTTTTGGAAGCACTCGCCGATTTCAAAATAAGCGTCAACGTGTTAACGAGATTAGAAATCAACGCGAATCACGAATCGCACTCTAGCTAATTTATAAGTTTTTAGTGTATTCTATTATTAATGAGAATTACATCATCTTGAAATCTGCTTAATCTGCTAAATCACTAATTACCGAGGTATCCAGTAATTTCTAGCTAATTTATGATCTTTCATTATATTCTATGACCTTGTACTATATATGGAAACATATAGCGTTTTATTTAAAAGAATTAAGTGATCTGGAAATCTGCTTAACAATATCACGAACGATAAACTTCGTCTTATAAAATATATCTTCACGCCTAATAATTTCTGTAGTGACCTTTTGCTCGTGTTTTAAACGATTTATGAAACTATCGAGCGTGTCCGGTCGAAAAATACACCCTGTAGAACGAAGTACGTTATCCTGGTCGTGGATAACGGATGACCAGGTTCGTCGGCAACATCGCCACCTAGGAAATGAGTACAGACTGTGACACTTGCACGTCATCTTGACTGTTCGTAGAAACTTCGCTTTCCAAGACCTTTTATTCGCGATACGCGTACTCGTACGTTTATGAAATAAAACGTAAAGAATGCAGAATACGATGAAAAATAATAGTAACAATAATAATAATAAAAGAATGCACTTGTTTTACCATGAAAAATAAAAATAGAGACAGCTTAGTTATATTTTTGAGTAATACAAATATTAGACATAGCTAATGTGAAAATTCAGAGAATATTTTAATTATCGCAATTGAAGAATTCTGTGACTTCACACGTTTTTCTGATAAATGTTTGTTTAAAGAGTGTACTTTAGTTCACAGAAGTATATTTTAGAATTGTTACTAATAACGATTTAGGTAAGTAATGTACATTAGACAAAGTGTTCAATTATTATTTAATCTTTTATCGTAGAAACGTAAATGTTAAAGTTTTTTGAATTGTAATCAATTTCTTGGATCCTGTGTTTTGGCGACTCTTTATTATTCTGCATTAGTGATTCAGTAATTAGATAATAGTTACGTTAAAGGTCAACAATTTCAAATATCTATATCTCCACGAGCCGATCCAAATTATAAGAAAATTGCGAAACTCTATGAGAGGTGTCACCGTTCCGTCGCAATTACCACTTTTACTAGAAATTGATTAATCTTCTTCGTTTCCTGTAACAAATAGGGAGATTTGTCAGCGTTCCATTAATGCGTCTAACCTTCCTCTATGCGTGATTGGATTGATATTCTGTGATGGGCAAATGATTGCCCGTGATGTTGATAAATGCTACAATCCTCGTGAAAGTTTCTCAACGCGGTAATTATTAACATATCTTATTTAACTCGGTTCCGAACTCGGTTATCCTTGCCGAATTTCGCAGGAAATTTGTATAAAATATTCGAAGAGTTCGGATGGTTAGAAAGTAAAGAATAGAAAGCAGTCGAAGGAAATAATTAAGTGGTCGATGTAAGAAGGCGTTAGAAAATAATCTTAAGTTGGAAGTTAGAAGACGTAAATGTTAAACTTGAAAAAGTGTCTATACCTAACATCAAAAAATCCAACATACTGCATTCGAAATATTAAAATTCTTTCTGAATCGTATGCAAAATTCCAAAGTTATTTTGACAAATTTCATTTAATACACATATTTTACCATTTACAATAAATTTACGATTTACAACTATATAATTCAATATTCACAATGTTTTCGTGTACAAGTTTCTTTTATCATATAATTATGACTATAATAATGCAATATATAACAGTGACGAATTAATTAAATACTTTACACGTGAAATAAGTTTAGAATAATATATTATTTTAACATTAAACCATATTTCCCACTTATTATGATTTCATATTATTCCCGATAATACAGGTCGCGTAACGAGGTAAAGTTAATTACAATGAAACTGAAACAGGAACAGTGAAGTTACTTATAAATACCGGTACGAAGTAATCATATAAATATGTCATTACAGTGCACATAATTGTACGTGTCAAACGATGAAATTGCGAGGAGGAATTTAATCTAGTAGGTGTGCTTTATAATGAGTAAAAAATTAGATTAATGTACAATTATTTCCAATTCCCTGAACGTCACGCTCGCGTAAGTCTGCAGAACGTATGCAAAAATGTGCGGCACATGCGCATAGCATAGGAAATACGTTGCGTCGATTCGAGGATAATCCCAAGTTCGTACAAGTAGCATAATTATAGGCAAGGTGTGCCCAGCGACGTGTGAAGATGGCAGACAGATTAATTAGGCTGATTGCTCTTATTCGGTAACTGCGAACGAATTCGTTCCGCTGCCGCTATTATCTCGAGTAACTGATAACACTATTTAACGCGTTCTATTATCGGTATTCATTAAACAATTCTTGTTGTTTCTCGTCAAAACTCGATTTCCGATATAATATTACACACACTTCAAGGTCAACACTCAGTATTTTCAAAAGCATCAGAAATTCATAATACTCTACTAAATATTATCTAAACCTGTCTACATCGTCACAATAAATACTACAGAATATTTCATTTACAATATTCAACATTAACATCCAACAATTACAATACTATTAACCCCTTGGCGTACTATTCACTTTCGTTACTAAGCTCGTGTAATATTTTACTATCGACAATTTGTAAGAAATACAACAAAATTTTCTATTCTACTTCAGGTGGAAATTTCATTTGAAGATAATACATTGATAGCAAAATAGTTGTTTGCTTTGATCCGTGGGTAACGAACAACATTGATTCTTTTTAAATTAGTTTAGAAATCTTCTAACTAGAATGCTTATAACGTCTCGCTGATGAAACAACTAATTACTTACTGCGAGCCGGGACGTCACGGTCGAGAGGAGGAGAGGAGACGGTGGCGTTTTGGCGGGAGATTTCGTAGATTAGTCCCGAGCGCAGCCGTTTCGAGGGTAACGGTCGAAGTAGTACATCAGGCTCATTGAAATTCCCGTGGATACTGGAATACGTCCATCGCCGGTGTCCTCTTCTTCGAGTTTCCACGGGTCGTTACCCATGAGCGCGCAACGGCCTCGTGATAGTTATAAATCAAAATACTCGAATTAAATCGCACGACGCTCGTCACGTTCCTCCACGGGCTTCCAAGCCGATGACCAGTTTTGCCTGTGACCAATGGGACGTTTTTATTTGTCCCCTTCAATGCCACTTTACCTATCACTGATTACACGGCTTTCCTTCTGTTATTCACTTTAACCTGTTAACCGTGGAATTCAATTTCAAAAATTTCCGATAATACAATGAAATCAGATAATCAAGTGTACACTCGTTGTACGCGACGCATCTATAATATATTCTAACGAAAAACTAATGCGAAACGAAGAATTATATGTTTATCCGAAGAAATAAATAATTTAGCATTGAAAGAAGCAGTATCATTTTGATTTTAACCTTTTGCGCTCCAGAAGTTTATCACCGGAAATACTCAATATTTTCTAATGAGATGCAGATGACATTTTCTAGATTGAATTAAGAAATCACACGTGCATTGAGGAAGAGAACTATTTTCTTTCAATATTTCGTACATTGTTGCTTTATACAAAGTTTAACTCTTTGCGCTCCAGAGGCTTCTCTGAGTCACCAAATGATTTGAGATATAATTTTAGGAGGTATGGATTCGAGGCGACGTTTTTAACGTGAAATTTCATTATTTTGGTATTTTATGTCTCATTACTAATGTTATGTTTATTTTGATTTATGTTTTATGTTGCTTTAGATGAAATATAATATTTGTTTAATAACGTGCGTATAATTTGTTTTCCTCGTGTTTCGATTAGACACAATTTGTCGCTAATATGGATTTCAAGAGATAACTGCGAAATATGGGTATAGTTTTCTTAAATCTCGTAGAAAGTAATAATAATTCAATAGAAATGAATATACTTATCTGCGCAGAGTTTTATTTAAATTTCAATGTACCCGAAATGTTTCCGGAAAAATGGCAATCCGCGTGAATATTCAGAGTATAGTTATCGCATACTGTATACAAATATCTTCGCATTATGATTTTCAAAGGTATGTAAATATGATAAATGTATACATCCAAAAGACACCGTTACATGTAATCGACACTCGTTTGCCTGTCTCCTTGTAATCACACCTGTCTTCTAATGGTCCGACACTTTTCTAGAATTATTGTGCAGCTTCGCTGATTTCACATTAATCTCCGTTTTATAATCAGTCTTGCGATCGTGTCTACCGTTAGCGAGTTTGAAAAATGCGTACATCTGTCTTCCCACTTAGTTTTTCTGTCGCTGCGCCATTCATTTTGATTTATTATTGAATAGGGTCGTCGCATTGAAACCAAGGCTTCACATTTTCGCCAATTTCGTTCGCTCGAAGTAAACGTTACGGGAAAACAGTATGAATAATCAATGAAACAGAAATTCAACGTCATTTTACTCGTGACGCTGTTACCAATGAAACTGCACTTCTGTATTTCTCCGAAATATTTCAGTATAAGAGCCAGTGCAATGTAAATAATTAAAATCTAAATAATTATAACCTTAATTCTTCAGAATTTCAAGTTTAACCCTTATCACTCCACACAGTTTTGTGATATGTCAGCTCCTACCAATTTTTATAGTAGTCCTACTGAAAATTAACGATGTTACAACATTTAGACCTTTAATTCCCTTCTCAGTACAAACTTTCTATATTTGGAAGATCTAATAATCTCAAGGTAGTTTTCTTAAAATTCATTAAAATATTTAATATTAGAACTGGTGCAATAGCCTACAGAGTTCAAAGGGTTAATTCGAGTTTTAATTAAAATATGTTTTATATTGAAAACATAAAAGTTATATCTCGAGGTTCAGTAAATAATTCGAATTTTTGTACTTTTAGCTTCAATTGGAAGCTTGAATTCAACTTGCATTTTTTTATTTCATTTTTTAAATATTTAAGTACTGACGCAAGTGCTGTATGAATGAAAATCATTGAATGCTCTAAAATGAAAAGCAAAGAATTTTCGCGCGATATCCGAAAGTCTGGAAAGAAGAAGGACACTCGCATACAAAACATTCCCGTGAGTGGTAAAAAATGTAAATCACACGGTTTGCATCGATACTCTGATAGCGATAAACACGCGGAAGACGGGACAAGTGCAGAGAAAGAGCAGAGGTTAATACTTAACGATAATCGTACGGTCATCATCATCCCGTTACTAGCAAGACCGTCTAAGTCTAAACGAAGAACAACGAATACATAATTTTGTTAAGTCACGACACGACGCGACGTCTCGTGTGTGAACCTTTTATCGTCAGACGTAAGTACCAACTTACGTCGGAAATACTTAACAAAAGGATAACATCAAATGTTAAGGAAAAAGTAAATACCAAAACGTCTTTCAATGTGATCCAATGTGAAATCGTTGCTAATACCACACGAAATTCCACTGTTCTTTCTTTTCGGAGAGTTAAATTACGATTATTATATATCTAACAACAATTCTTAACGATAAATTCGTTGTTCTGTTCTAAACGAAAATATCCTTCTGCCATAGAAATACAAATTTCGAGTTATGTCAGTTTGGATTTATGTTGCTCGAGTTATTTTTCAGTTTTTCCTGGGCACAACTTAATAATGCAAATGTAATTTACTGCAATTTAACGGAAGACGAGATAATAATTACAAGAAGATAGTATAGCAATCGTTATGAAAAATCCCTTTCACATGTGGTACACGTTAATTTTTCCAAAAAAATATTTTTAAGGGACACATGGTCAAGAATAGCTATATACGTTACAAAGCACCGAAAACATCAAGAAACGATATAAAAATACATAAAATTAAAAAAACTCGAATATAACTTAATATTTTATTCAAAAAATCAATACAGTTCATAAGCAAAATATGACCGAAATTTCCGTGGCACTAAAAAAACTATTTCCACCGTATAAAAATTTTAACAAAAACTCCCTTAGCAATCAGAGTCTCAAAATCCCCATCACTTTATCTCAAAAATCCACAATATCCCAAAACAAAAAATTTTCTGTTCATAATTCCCACTAGTCCAAGGGGTTAAAACAGCCCCTACACAAAAATTCGAATAAAAATTGTCATTGAAAGTCTTACAATGCCCACGAACCTCCACTGAACCTTACAAAGCTGAAAGTAGCCGAAAATATAAAAATACAAAACCTCTCGGTATACACCATAGTTCGAACCGTCCAGGAGGATTGTTCGCATGCAAGAAAAGGGAAAAAGGCCGAGTGGGGAGAGGCTTCGAAGATGTTCTCGGTCGCGTGCCGTTGTGCTCTGCTGGGCTCAACGATCTTCTCGCACATGACACACCGGAATAGGACATTACCACATTGTGTGTGGCATTACACGGCCGGCGGCTCGTCATCCCGATGCCCCTGACGGTCCGTCCGTGCCGCGGCAGTGGAACATAACCATAGCGTCCCGATAGCTGGTGTGCGCCACGATTGCCACGACTGCCGCGACTGCCACGCGATCGGCACGTGGCCAGCAATTGCACCGGCCTCTGCCCCCCTCGGTCACGCCTTGATGATTTGCCTCGGCTACTCTTCGTATTCGTACACAATATAATTTCTAGGTGGACGCTGCCACTGGAACGCCTGTTCACCCCTCCGACACCCCTTGCGGATAACTGGACTGAGAATAATTGTCCCTCTGTTACATCCTACCACACTAAACACCCTATACATCCCTAATAACTGTTATTATCATTGTTGTTATCACTATTACTATTGTTGCTACTATTGTCGTTGATGCCGCAACCATCGTGGCGTCACGGCACGCCGACCATCTGAAAACTGGTTCATCGTTGCCTTTATCTAAAGATGGTTTGTACCAAAATTCTCCTTTGATCTCTTGCGCTGAATTCGGAGACTCGAAGTTTGTTAATTGTGTTGCATAGAGTGATGTATTTTAACCCTTTGCAATCGGGAGGTGACTCTCGCCATTTGATTCCACGCGGTGAAACTAAATCTGAATATTTTATGTCGAACTTTGTGTAACGTCTTGATATGTGAAATATTGGAATAAAACAGCTTCGTTCCTCGATGTTCATCAACGAAACCTAATAACTCTAACATCAAAACATAACTATTATTCTCTACCCTTGAATTTTTCAAATGTTTCAAGAAATGTCTTCGCCTCGTGAAAAAATATTGAACATTTCTGGTGAACTTCCGAGTGCAAAGGGTTAAAAGAATCTAGTATTTCTATTTGTTGAATCATGTTGAAAATCTTCACCACGAGTCTGACTCGTTGTTGTAGGGCAAGGGGTTAATTTGGGTCACCGGTGACCCTGGTATTCAACGTGTTAACTATTAACCATCGAGAACGAATCGAGACCTTCACGTTTTTCCAACGCGGATTCACCGTCTCGTGACTCGATAAAGGACAAAACCTAAGCAAGCTCGGTTCGCTTTGCATCCAGACAAGATTCTACTCCCTTTTTCGAGAGTATTCCGTGTGTTGTGGCAACGTGACACTCTCCCTATTGTTATTCACGATTATTATGCACGTCAGACGCGAAAGGGGACGGACAATTGCGAGGGCAGTAGGAGACTATCGTCGGGCGTTTTGTTTTTAGTTTCGATTGGTCACTTGTGACCGTACTGATTTTCGATAGTATTCTTTTGTGTAACGTATAATACATGCGTATTTATTTATAATAGGTTAGCTTTCGTACTGGCGTTTGACTCCTTTCGTGCTCCACCCGTGTGGTGTCGCTGTGTCACGCGAACTGCCATGTGATCCTTTTCCTTTTTTCTTTTACCTTTACCTATCCCCTTTTTCTTCCTCTTTCTCTTTTTCTTGGTCACTCTCTTTCTTCTAGATAGAAAGAGTGCCGGCTACTCTCTCTGATTAATATTAGGTATTAACATTAGAATTTACTTGAGAGTTAGATCAGATATTAACGTCAGAATTTGCTTGAAAATTACATATTAAATTTATT